GTAAATATTGACATCGGCTTAACAACGACAATGTATTGGTGAGACGGACATATTTAAACAAGTTGGGAAAGTTCGCTGAATTCAGATTCAAACGACYATAACAAGTATTTTAACTGATGATTAGACACCTAAAACCTAAAAAACTAACAATTTGAAAATAAGTTATAGTACCTCTAAGTTATTTATACTTTTGTTGATTAATACCTAATAGTTTTATTTGATTGCGTTTCGCACAAAATATTTCAAATTTTGCTCTCGAACCATGRTTGTTGAAATATTATTCATATTCGCCACACTATATATAGTAATATAGTATATTCAATATGAGTATATGACCAGGGGTGTTCCCTGTTCCCATAGGGTATACATGTACACCGTATACTCTCAAGATTTTTTTTCAATATTCGTAATATTATTATAGGAATGGATAAAAATATGTGGTTAAAAATTTTTCCATATTATTATTGATACACTCTTTACTGGCTTTACTTCTATAAACCAAAAGAAAACWATTTTTACTGTATTAAATGTTTATACTTGATGATAATATAGTATACCCTCAAAAAAATTAATGGGAACACTTCTGTATATGACTGATATGTTTTAAGGTTTCAAAATTAAAAATGCTACATAAGAAAACTAAGTTTTGTATAATGTGTAGTAATTGAGTCATTATTTTGATTAATTTAATAATTTGTGTAAAAACATTGAAAGTATAAAAATTGAAAAGATCCCGAGATCTTTACAATAAATAAAAATAACGGGATATTTGATGAGGTAAAAGTTTTTGTAAACTCTAATAATTAAAATTATATTACAACAATTATATATTACTTTTTTTCCTTCTTTTCGATATAATTCATTGAATCATTAAATATAATAAGGCATGAAAAACATGAGAAATGAAACTACTCGCAGTGATAGACCTATATTTTGATTTTTATAAATAGGTAAAACTTAAAAATAATTATAAATCTAGGTATATGATGATTTTTATATTTTTCATGGTAAATATTTCTGTAGAAAAAAATTTAAGCTATTTATAAATAAACACCCCAGATTTAACCAGCAATCAGAAAATATGGAATATCTTGTAGGTACCTACTACTTATAACAAAAATTTATTTCTAGTGCACAGCTACAGAAARGGCATGGCCGTTTTCAACCAAAAACGTACCTTTCCCCTCTCAGCCGATTCCCTTTTCAACCAAAACAAAAATTGCATAAAATGTAGAAATTTATTTCAAATATAAGAATTTTTAGATATTAAAATTATTTTTTATGTTAATATGTCACAACATGTATAATATTATATGAATTAATTAAAATAATAATATCAATAATATGTATAATTATAATATTACATAAAAATAAAAATAAACTAATAGGTATGTAGTAAACAGTAAGAATTCAATATTTTCACCAACTACTTTAAGATAATTGTTTTCGATCTAACTAAGGGTGCATCAACTGTTTTTCGTTTAATCACAGAGCTAACAATTTACCTCAATATTGTATTCCTATCATATGGCTTATGGCTGTGTGATAAAATATGTTCACGATGATCTTGTACAACAACTTTATTTTTTGTTAACACTTTAGCATTACAATCTCTTTGAATACATCGCCAACGAGTTGAATTTTTTTTTTTTTTGTTCTCTGATCAGATACTAAATTTAGAACTATCTAAAACTAATAACGGTTTTTCACTTTTACTTTTGATAAATTCAGCCATATTATAATTTTGAACGTTGAAAACTATGGAAACGACGCAACGAGTGGTACACGGGCTGACACTATATTTATTGCACGCACGAATATTGATTTTACAAAAATTAAACAAGTACCTAACAGAAAATATAATCAGTTATTGATGTTTTATCTTAGCTATAAAAGATAGCGATTATCTACCATACGTATAACGATTAACGATCGGTCTTGCATTTACATACCATATAAACCTATATACTATACCTAGGAGTTCACATTATAATCAAACACGACGATCACTGATCAAATAATTGATGACAAAAATTATATATAAGTTTTAATAATTATAAATTATATGCCTAATACATATGTAGGTATATACCTTAAAATATAATATATTAAACTTTTTAATTTGTGTAATTTTCAATTAACTTATTTTATATTAATATTTTACTTAATAATTATTGATAAAAATWGTATATTACTATACTATTACTAGATTATGAGCGGAGCAATGAATATATTGATCTTACAAGGATGTGTTTTTTTGTTTTGTGGCTGTTTACAAGATAAGTTGTCGAAATAATGCTTCGATTTTAAACTTCAATAGCTTTTCCGGTTGGAAAGTGAATCTAGTTGGTGCATTGAGGAAGTCAAATTTTAAAATTCCCAGTAGTTTTCAAAATCAGCGGGAAAAACAAAACAAAAAAAGCGGATAAGTAAGTGAATGTCACTCTGCTGTACAGTAGGTTACAAGTTGATTACTGTAATGGATGATAATGAATTTGAATTTAATGATATAATCATTGTAAACAAAAAACAATTCTGAGTGGAGACGATCTATCAATCTAGGATATGTTATACTATATTAATTTATTATATTATTATTTAAAAAAAAAAAAAAAATGTAGATAGGTACCTATAAAATAAATTCCAAATTAATCAAATCATATTCATTATATACCCAATAACCCAACTCACTCAGTCATTCATAGTAGTTAAATACAATTCCTACAATGAATGACTAAGTGAGTTGGTTTGTTGGATATATTATAATGAATATGGCTTGATTAATTTGGAATTTATTTTATAGGTCTTTTTTTTTTTAAATACTAACAATACAATAAATTGATATAGCATAACATATTCTAGATTGATAAACCATCTCTACTAACTAGCATTTTTTGAATACAATGATACTATATCATTGATTTCAAATTTAATACCATCCATTAGTCATTACACTAACCCACTTGTAACCTACTGTACCTACAGCAGTGACATCCACTTACTTACCTGCTTTAAAAAAAATAAATATACCTTTTTTTTACTTACAGTGTAACTCTTTATTTTTATATAACATTTTTTTTATGAATAAAATGTCATTTTCTTGAGATAAAACTAAAAATACTAACATTAAAAAAATATATTCTTAAAAAAATATCATTAAGATAAAATAAATGATAAGAAGAAATTCACATAAAAAATACTAGGAACCTAAAAGTCTAATATCTAACATAATATGCATACATATTTAAAACCGTAACCATCTTAATAATTAATAACCTACAATGCCATATAATAATTAGTTATTTATTAAAAATAATAGTAAATACAATAATAAGTTAAAAAAATAAAACTGTTTACATTGAATAATAAAATCATAATTCATTTTTCATCAAATTTTAAATTAAATTCCTAAACATAATGAGGTATAAAATTAAGATAGGTAGTACAATTTTGAAAATAATCACATGGAAAATCACTCAACATTTTTTGTTTATTTTATAACTAATAGGTCTTTTTGGGTTAAAAATGTAACAAAAAATATTATTGGCAATTAATATAAACGTAATCCAATACAGTACAAATTTTTAAATGTATAAGTGCTATTATAGAATTTAAATAAACTAAATAAAATATGTATCAAGCTTATACAAGAAATATTGTTACTCTTAATTTTTTTTTTTTAATCAGTTATAATTTGTAACTTTTTAAGGTGTCAGCAGTTTAAAAAATAGTTTTTTCTTTGTTTATAATTATTAAAAATAAATCATGGAAATTAATAATACTTATTTAGTTTAAAAAGTAAACATGTGTTGATAAGTAGTAGGTTAAAACGTTAATAAATTAAACATTTATATTTTTTTAGGATTGAAATTGATTTAAGTAGTTATATGGTTATTTTTTTTTAGCAAAGACAATAGATAATTAAAATTTTTTTATACATTGTATATTATTTAAGGCAGAGATATTTAAAATAATTATCATAGATAATTTATAATAGTTTAGTTAAAAAATGTTTATAGTTAATATGTATGTAATAACAAAGTACACATATCAATAAAATAAATACAAAACATTGTAAAACTGTGTACGTAAATCTCAAGTGAAACAATAAACTAATGAACTTTAAATTCTAAAAGTACTTTGAAATTAAATCTGATTACACTCAAATAATACTGAAAATTAAGTTTGAAAACCATTTTTGTATACCTACTAACCTAATTGAATATGTCTTCATTATTAATAATAAATATTATTATTCAAAAAATGTACCTAAAAAAATAAATAGATTTATGAACATATAACATGGTTGTAAAAAAGCTACGTGTTTGAACGATTATTTTTAAAGACATTCATGATATTAATATCATAAATTAATTACTTTTAATAGTCAATAAATTATATTGTTTCACAATAAAACAAAATATTAGGTTTTCATTATTTCATTTTTAATGAATAATGCATAGGGAGTACGTCATATATTATAAGTAATAAAAGATTTAATTGAAATAAATCATAAGTGATGATGAAATTACAAGGCATCATACAAACGAAGAGTTAACGACAAAATAATGTGCAATTGTTTTTGGAAACAATAGTATTGTGAGTGATTAATAGATTGCGAACTTATCAAAATCAGACATCTAATTAAGATTTTTAACTAATTATTGGAAAAATGTAAACCTATGAACAATATATGTTATTTATTCAGTTATTTAAAATTGGTTAAGAAATTACAGTATTTTAAGATAAAAATAAATAGAAATAATCAATAATCAAAAAAATTAAAATTAAAAAAATAGTCAATAATGAAATGTTTAAAATAATATAATTAATATTTTGTAATAAATTATTGTTTTATAAAAATGCGCTAAAATCATTCATTAACATAATTATAAATTTCTAAATTGGTTAAGTGATTTATCTAAAACCATATAAAACATAAACTCATTAATCTGAAGAAAAAAATCCCTACAAACAATTTTATATATTATTTTTTTTAACCTAATAAATAGCTTATAAATGTATAACCATTATATTCAAGTAATAGTATTATTAATTATCAAAATTTTTAGAAATCATGTGGCTACTTGAACATCATGTGATGATGATTCAAGAACCTCCATTAAAAATGTATCAATTGGCGAATCCCCAATAAGTTTATAAAAGAATAAATGTTCCAGACATTTTAAACCTATTGAGCGTAATGAAGGAAGCCGAAGAAGTAGTTTAGCAAATCGCCCAGGTTCTTCTGGATGTGTTGTACGGCAATATTCTTCTAACGCAACGTATACCTTATCACGTAATATCTCCACTTCATTCACAGACTGCAAACCTTTTGAACCTAATACAAAAATAAGAACTATTAGTTATATGAATAAAGAAAAATGTATTCTTTGTATAAGTAATTGATATTTATAAATAATTTTAAAAAAATTACCTGGATTAAAAAGAATAATAGTACGCAAGCAGCCAAGCTCTGTTCTATCCATACTCATATCTCTCATTTTAGCAACAAGTTCAGTGAGTACACGATCAAATATAGCTTCAACGCCAGCTTGGTGAGCTGAATCTCTGTCAACAGTAAGTCCAGTAGCTAAAACTATACCATCTTTTACACTGATTGATCTATGGGAAAATGCTGCAATCATCAACTCATTCCAACCTACAAGTGAAAAGTAAATAAAATAAATATGTTGCATGCTATAACATAATTTGGGATTTGTATATTTACTTACCAGCTCTCAATAATAAAACTTGATCGCCTAGAGGTAAATTTTTAAAATGTGGTATATGCTTGGCCCACTCAACAAGTTGTATTAACTGCTTATCAGTTGCTTGACAAATAGCACCAACAGTATGTTGAGGATGCTGAAAAAAATTATTTTTTAATTAAATACACTGTCATTTACAATATGAAATTTAGCTGAATGTATTTAGTTAATATATTCATATAATCATATTTGTGCAAAAAAACCTTACTTGTTGCTCTATATACTGTTGTTCAGTCTTTATAGCATCAGCTTTATTCTCAGCCCTTAATATGAGTTCTACTGGCATATCAGTATTAGAACTGCTTGTGGGCTCAACTTCGATGTTGTTATGATCTCGTTCTTTTGTACGCTGCCTTTCTTCCTAAAATTTATTGAAACAACTTATTATCTATGATATACGAAAATATAGACTTTTTGAGCTTTATATTATTAATGGTACTTTAACCAATATCCTTACTTATTCTAAGTATAACAAATTATATTTAAATCAAATTAATAAACAACAAACAATAAAGGTGTACCTACACTTGTATACTAATATATTTCAAACAGAAATTTATTTTATATAATTAAAAAGTTACACAATTGTAAATTATTTTAATTGTTGAATTTTTTTGTATTATTGATAAAATCTTAGAAATTTGGTAGATATTTATAATTTTATTATCTCATGGTGGTACACATATTTTCGTCATAACATATTATGTTGAATTATTTTCAAACTAACCAATTTTCAACAAACATTTTTAAACTTACAAATTTCTTATAAATGTTTTAATGCCTTGTTGTAAAGAACCTATTTATGTTTTTATAGAAATATCATGAGAATCCGGAACAACCATCTATGTTTTATAAATAGGCATCATAATAACAGCCAGAAGGGCCAATTTCTTTTGAAACGCCCGTGATATAATTATTTTTAAAACTTAAGCAAGCACCTATCTACCCACCCACAAGCACTGAAAAAAATTCTTCAAAACGGCAGTTGTTTTAGACAAAACCAACTTTTGATGCCTCTAGTCCACAAAACACAGAGGCTAAAAAAATTGAATGTACTTATTTATGGCTATAAATGTATCACTGATCTTATTATTATTGGTGTCATGTACTATTTAAGATAGTACGGTAAAAGTACAAAAACGTCTCGAATTGATTGTAAATATAGGTGGATGACGACAATAACCCACCTGCACAGCTTCTCTTTTCATGCCCATGGTCAAACATTTTTGATATCTGCAGTACTGACACCGATTTCGTTGACGCTTGTCGATAATGCATTTGTTTTCTTCGCGACACGCATAAGACAAATTTTTCCTCACAGTGCGTTTGAAGAACCCTTTGCACCCTTCACAACTATATGGAGGTTCATATACATAATTAAAATTAATTGGCTTTAGACACTGGAAAAAAGAAAAACGCAGATTTACCTGTAGACCCCGTAATGTTTTCCACTGGCACGATCGCCACATATGGAACACAGATGTTTCGAACCGCTGAGTGGATGGTTGGGCGGGTAATTCGGAGAATCTTGTACGTTGCAAGAATTATTCATCATACTGTTCCGGTCGACATTATATAATCTATAAAGAATAGGAAAAGAAGAAAACATAATTTAAATTTACTACAAATCTAGTAATGAATATTTTTGTATTTTACATCATATACATTTTGTTACAATTTTCATCTATTCTGGAAAATTTATTAGAACATACTTCATGTCTTTATACACTTGTTAATTATCAATGGGCTTTAGTGAAATGTTTTTATGAGTAACAGTATTTTCTAATGTATGCATAATACACCAAGAAAAATTTAATGAAACTATACAACTACCTTAGTATAAGAAAACACAAACTTTTAATCCATGAGCTAAATTTAAATTTTAGACAGCTAGTTTGCTATACCATTGATTATAAGTAGCTAAAATGTATAATGATAACTGTTACAATTGATATTCAATTAACTTTAAAATTAAAACATTGATAATGCATATATTGGGTGATTCTTTTATCATTGAACACTAATTATTTTAAAAATTACTAATGTTTTTGAAAATATTTTTTTTTAAATATTTTTTATCCTTATCATTTTTAAAGTTTTATACTTTTTTGAATGACAACATAGAGTTTTAATTTCATATTCCAAAGCAGAATATTTTTCTAAGTATTTTGATTCATAAAAATCRAATTTAGGWCGAGTAGTTTATGAGTTATAAGTATTTAAAGTTTAGACAAGCGGAGTAGTGGACAAAAATTTCGCGGGGTAACCACATACCACTCCACTCTGCCAATCTAAACTTTAAATACTTATATCTCATAAGCTACTAGCCCTAAATTCAATTTTTATGAATCAAAATACTTAGAAAAATATTCTGYTTTGGAATATGAAWTTAAAACTCTATGTTGTCATTCAAAAAATTAAAAAACTTAAAAAATGATAAAGATAAAAAATATTTAAAAATATAATTTTTTAATAAAAACGTTGGTTTTTAACAACTTGAAACTATGTAAAAAAATATTTTCAAAAACATTAATAATTTTTGAAATAATGAGTGTTTAATGATAAAAGAATCACCCGGTAGAGTGGACTAAACTTTAACTTTATAATAAAAGATAATTAACTGAACTTTAGTAATACTCCATAATAGGTATAATTTGGGTGTTAAACTGATAAATGTCTGCCACACCTACTTATATAGCTTATTTTAACAAAGTTTTATAAACAAATGATCAAAGCAAAAAAATGTGAACTTAACAAAAATTAAGTATTAATACATTAAACATTTTACATTAAGTCAATTATATTATATACTTAACCTAATTGCAAAAAGAATTATGTATAATCATATAATTACAGTAGGTACTACACTTTTTAAATAAAATGGATCAACTAAATATTTTTAACTCCTAAACAAAGATAAAAAAAAATCCTCACTAATAAAACATTTTATTTACAATTTAAGGCCACAACTATGAATGTGGAAGCATGTATATAAATATTAAATTATAGTTGACTGCAATATCAGAGATATTATACACCTAAACATGCAGATATTTTTACTTATTAAGATCAATCACAGATTAATATACAAAATTAGTAACATAACCTATATTACTATTTATATTATAGTACTTATTATGTTATAGTTTATAATACAACATGTTAACTTTTAATAAATCACAATCAAATTGTCAAAGAAGAAAAACAGTAACTATGAAATAGGTACTAAAGAGAGCTTTTTACTTTTTACATTTGTAGGTATATAATATAATGTATAGTTGTAGACATTTATTTTATTTTATATCACAAATAAAACAAAATACTGAAATTGATAATTTGTGTTGTTTGGTTTAAAATTATAATAGTCAAGTGATAAAATTAAAATAAAGTATGTATAGTTAATAGTTATAACATTCATTCAATAGAATAAATATTACGATAAAAAATAAGTAGGTACCTATACTAAAAAAAAATATCAAGTCTCTAATAGGCATAACATATATTTATAAAAATATTATGATTTAAGTTAAAACTTAAAACACATAAAGTAGGTAGGTACTTTTTCAGAGTTTTACATCAGAATACATAAATCTTACTCTGAGGCAATAAACGTCATATTTAGCACCTCAAGAGGTATTTCATGCTTAACACATGGTTTCACAACACAATACAATATTTGGAAGATTTTTCAGAAATTTACTGTTTTTATTCAACTACACTGTATACGCATTTAAATATATTATTATATTTATCGAATTTGTAGTTGCAGTGCTAGCATAACTTCTGTAACTTTTATATCTCAGTCACGCCAATAGAAATATCTATAGACGAGCGCTTAGTAAAAACGTATTTTATAAAAAAACGATAAACAAAAACAATATAAAAAATTAAAAACAATACTTTCATATACGTCCCGTCCAATATTCAAATTTCAAACAAACCGGTAATCTAACCCATCATTACAATTTACCTGTCACTTGAATACATGGTGTACGAGTTGGAATACATTTTAAACGTCTTAGAAAACTCTTCAATTTAACGTAAAAAAAAATAATAATCGTCGAAGCACACTATTTGGACCGAACATCAGTAGGTATAACAACACTGAAGACCAAACACACTATATTAAAATAATTATAATATGTACATTGTACAATGCAAATACTATTATTATAAACGATAGCAAAAAATATATTTTGTCAGCAAAAATAAATGTTTGTCTTTGATTTATTGTGATATACACTAGTACACAAAAAAGAATGTACCTACTATGCTAAAATTACGTTACAACTGAGACGTGCACACTGCGAGAGCATTGCGAAATATAACGGAATGAAATAATTGATGAATACGGCTTGTAAGTGAAAAAAAAACATCGTATAAACACAACAATGACGATTATATTGGTTGTAATAATATTAGGTCATTTATGTTTGTTACACGTCGACAGCGCATTATTGATAATGTTAATAATATGTACATCGAGTTCAGCGAAATATTAGATAATATTATGGTAGGTATTCAATATTTACACTATAATATTATAGTATGTCGGATTTTCACGGAAAAATAAGATACTTTATTATTTAATTAAATGTGAATGTATACTATATGAGTACCTATATTGCTGTATATTCATTATACATATTAAAATACCGACGCATACTCGTCGAATCAGACGAATTTAATTAAAAAATTTGATAATGAGAATAATATTATATTGGAATGAACAATTATCAGTTTTTTATCGACCGGTTTTATGATTAGATAGGTACGCATACATATATCTACACACAATATAAATATATGTAAATATTATTCATGTCCGAGGTACCTATAAAATCAGTGGTTAAATAACACAAGAATCCGGATTTTTATAGAACGAAAAAAAAAATCGTTTCATATAAAAAGCCTATTACTTTTAAACTTTACGTGAATGAAAAATATTTGAGTTTCAAAACCAGTAAAATATGTAGGCATGCACACGATTTTATTTTGTATATAGAATTATAGATGCATAATAAATAATGTAGTATAATATGGTAATAATATTTCCAAAAAATAAAACATTAAAGGCGTGTACAATGAAATAAGAAATATTTGGTTTATTATAAGTTTATTCTTTTTGGAATAAATGTTGTCAGATTAAATAATGATTTTTATGGGGGAAAAGCAATTCGTAAGCCTATTATGATTTTTATAGTTCGAGTGAATAAAAAATATTTGAATTTCAGAACCAGTAGAATCTATATCTATATCTTTTTTAATGTGCACGTATATGTTTAATATACACAGTATGAAATTGTATTATGGTCCAAGCGACATACCTATAGGTGTAGTGAAATAAATTCTGCAGATTGAGAGTTCATGTCAAGTCTAGTAAAAATAATTGCACAATTATATTTTATAATGTAATAATACTATCATAATCAACAATAACTAATACGAATAATAAAGCAATAACCATTAATAATAATAATACATTTTAATAGTTTTTTAATATTTGTAATTAAATTATTTTTTAATATATAACATGTTCACTTCTACAAGTAATAAACGAAATAAATTTTGAATAATGAATATTAAGACGTACATTAGAATTATTTACTCAATATAAACTATGCTTACCCTGCAGGACTTAAAGGAGCTCCCGGAGGGCTAAAATTAACCATTAGAGTGGCCGTGTCCGGTTTGAGGTCTAGAGGCGACTGAGGACCCATTGAACTCAGTGACAGATTATTGTCCAATCTTAATCCTGTGAACAAACGAATAAAATATTACACATTAAATATAAATACATAAGAAATGTAGATTAAATGTAGGAAATTGTTATCTTATACCTAAATCATTATATCAGTATTATGTAAATTCACTCGTTTAAACAATATTACGTAGGTACATGCAATGTATAGAATATACATGTTATAATTATAGTAATTATATATAACCACAGTTTGTTCAGTATATATACAAAGGGCGCCACGAAAAAAGAGTTCAACTACCAGTCAAGGTACCTAGTATCTACATATAATATAATAGCATGGGCATTTTATACCAAGTATAAAATGTATGATGTATACAGTGTAATTTTTTAAGCATGTTAATCATATTTTATGTTTAAATTATGAATACATTAAAATGCTGATTATTGTAACGAGCAGGATTGGGACTTTATCTCATTTGCATATTTCTTAAAAGATGCTTAAAAATAGCAGAGTAAGCTCAAAATGTATTTCATGATACAGATAACTCAAATTAAAAAATTTTACTTTGCATAATTTGCGGTTTTTTAGTTTTTTGGATTTTTAACTGTTTTGAATAAAAATCGGTCATATTTTAAGAAATTATACTTTAATAAACATGTTTTTGTCAATCGAATTATCAAAAAAATTGTAAATGTATAGAGTACATGATTAAGTAAATAGACTGATTACGCTGTGCAACGTCGTACAATTACAGTGATAATATATAGGTATAATATAATATTACGATAATTCCGTATTAGGTACTTATGGTTCTAATTTATGTTAGGTATTAATTTTGTTGGTTTTTTCGTTGATTCCTAATKTGATTATTAATCGCCGATTATCAACGAAAAAACGTTGAAAMTACTCATTAGAATTTTGATTTAGATGATCAAAATTTAAAAAAATCATCTGCTAAATAATTCTCAGTAAAAAAAGTTAAAAAATAAAATAGAAGTTTGTATCGTCACAGGACACTTCTTAAGTAGAGTAAAAAATATTAAACATTTGAAGATGTGGCATTTAGCTATTTAGGTGTACATAAAAGTTCTAAAATTAAGAATTTGAATAAACATAGGTACTATTAAAAGGGGAAATCGGGGCAAATATGCTTTAAAATTCACCTTGTATATGGTTATAATAGTATTAACCATATTGTGTAAAATATACATTTTACTACTTGCGATGATTCGATGACTAATGGAAAACACGATTGAATTGCTATCTACCGGTTGTTGCGTTGTTGTACGAATATAATATGTGCGCTATTGATTTTTTATACATATTTGCATTATTATAAGTCTTCAATAATCTATATTATGTATTTCATATATATATATATGTGTGTACAAATTATGTTGATGGTTGTTATTTGTTAAGGAAAATACATTTTTTTTTTTTTTTTTTTTTTTTAATGTGGTATTATTGCCATTTTAAATTTTATTAAAAATAAATATTTTTAAAGACGGAAAATTTAATTTTCGATATAATGAGTCAAAGAAATGGTATTCATGGTAGAAATAAATGTGCGCGATGAAATCGAGGAAATGTAATATTGAATTTAAAAATAAGTGCTCAAAAATACATATTAATCTAACCCTCTCCAGATTAACCAATAACCAGTGTAAAGTGAGTTCAATAGATAATTTTTTTCCTATGTTAATAAATAGGAAATTTACACGTTTGTAAGCCAAACCTAATCAGCCTATTTGAGTCCAACAGGCAAATATGTCAATTAATCGAAAGTCCAATAAACGGCGACTTTACTGTTGTACCGACTATGTAGGTACCTACTTAAGATTTTTTATCGGAGATAAAAATACAGTGGCAACACAGACTGTACACGGGTTACTGCGAATATACCCGACTACGATATTATAGACATTATGATGAAAAAATAAATTATAATAGAGACACATTCGATATTATATTAAAATCAAACGCTATACACTATTGAAATATTTATCTCATTTAAATCTTTTCTTGGCAAATTACCGTATATATATATAGGAAGTATGAGTGACAAAGATAATATAGGCGTGCGATTTTCATTTTTTTTTATGCATTAAAAACACGAAGACCATTTCACACATACATAACACACGTTACAACAAATACCACAGCTATAGCTATGAGTGATGTTTTTTTTGAAAACAGCAACGATGTATAGACATGTGTAGTACTCGTATAATAAACATAATGTATACACATTACACACACACACACTATAAATTGCGTTACTGTGAAATCGTAGAGCTATATAGTAGCATTTTAAATGTATAATATGTCGATATAATGTATAGTGTGCATAATGGATATTATATACGTATAGTATAAATTGAAATATCCACATGCGATAAGGTGTATATACTATAGCTAATATTATATAGTAACCTCGAAAGAAACTAAAAAACGTAGGTAATAATAATGTAATATTATAGATTAAAAATATAGGTACCCACACGGCTACACCTATCTACTAATATTTATGTCTTGGCAAGACAATAATGCACATCCAAGACAGTCTTGGATGTGCATTATGCACGTTAAACTGCAGGTAGTAAAAAATATTCTATTAACACTATTCGTGCCACCTAAATTATTCATAATTTTAAATATCAACTAACAGTAAGTTGTATTTATGGTTACGGTATTGTGAATATTGCGTGGATTATAATAACACATTCTGCATTTTGTGGCGTTTTAACACACGACGACAAGCGGTTAGTGCAAGCTAAAAATGCATAGCGTATACGTATGCAATTGATATCAGGTTAGTATACCCAAAAATGGTATAAGCAAATACAAATAATGACTAATAGGTATATATACATAATACTTTTCATAGATACCTATATTGAAATTTTAAATGACTTATTTACAGTCCATTTTTAGGCGTTAATGTGCTTAAATTATGGCAAAAGAAAGTGGTTAATATTATTATGCCAAATTTATGTTATTCTGTTATCCTAACACATATTGGGAGCGAAAACTCTCCTCGACCTTCACCTCTACAAATTTAATGTAAAAAAAAATACACGGGTAATATAGTAGCATAATGATACGACCTTGAATACTTTTATTCACTGCATAATAGGTATCCTCTTTTCAACCGTTGACTTGTATGCCCTTGATTTGGTTATATAGTAACAATAAAAATACGTTGAAAGAAAAATGAATAAAAGCAAATTTTAATCTATATGATCGTATATTTTCTGTATTGTATACTATTCACAAACAATAATTCAACCAATAAGCATATTGTGTTTTAAGCAATGAAGTGTAGGTACCTACCTATATTCACTGAAAATATAGTGTTAATTAGTACGATGTTCAAAGTTAAGATTGCAATATATTCAAAATGATTACCAAGCATCATCGATAATAACAAGAATTCTGCAATAATGTTTTATTAATATGCAACTATCGGATTACACTAATAGTTTACAGTTGGCTATATTTACCACATGTAGGTGGTAGTACATATACTATACCTATATATTATGTGAATAAAGTTAAATACCAGGGATTAGAAGCGGTGATTTTCTGTCTTTGTCTAACACACGTGGGACATACAATACGCCTGACAAAAATTAAGGTACTTCTAGTTGTTCGATTTAAAATATGTTAAGATGTGTCAATTGGTATACAAGTTTACTTTGCATCGGTCGAAGCCCTTTTTCGATTGTAGCAATATTTTGATAAGAATAAATATTTTAAATTTTATAAATTTGTCAATTTTTTTTATTAAATATATTAAAAATATGCTTCGACAGATGCGAAGTAAACTTGTATACCAATTGACACATCTTTACATATTTTAAATCGAACAACTAGAAGTACCTTTATTTTTATCAGGCGTATTGTATATGTCCCACGTGTGTTAGACAAAGACAGAAAATTACCGCTTCCAATCCCCTTAATTAGGTTCTTATATTCACATATTAAAATCGGATAAGCTTTATATAAAATTTCACAATTTTACATAGGTAGGTACATATATGTTTCTGTATGCTTCTGTCGAAATCAGTGAAATTAAAAATACTTTTAAAACCTAGGTATTTATATACAAACAAAAGTAGTTATTTAATACCAAGAAAGTCGCATTTCTATTCATAAGTTGTTGAGTGTACCTAGTCATTAAGTAAATTACTGTAAGAGATGCGATACATTTTAATTCAATGATAAAATATCAGTAATAATTATACTATAAAAAATGATACGAAACGATGCGTCAGATTCTATTTTTAAGGGTACATATATTTTCAAATAATTCTAATACGGCTTAAATGTTATAGAAGTAGATTGAACTAATTTTTGATAAAATCATTGCATATATATTTAGATATATTTATATAGCATACGTTTGGACGGGGTTTATATAGACTTGGAAACCACAGAACTACCAACTGGCACAAATAATCCTTGAGACTCGGAACGTGCTTATATATAGCTTCATTTTTGAATTTTTCAACCTATATAGGATAGGTTCACAACCCGCCTAACACAAATTTTGTTATGACTCACAAAAATTATAGAATATATTTTTATTTATATTAAATGTTGCCACTGGTTACACAAATAAAAGATATTTTTAAATAATTTATAAAATACAATAATGAATAATATATTTTTGTAGCTTATTATTATTACTCAAAAACTAATAGACTATTTTTATGAAAATTGCAAGGAATGTTTATAAAGTATAATTTTTTAACCACGTTCGAAAATGAACTAAGTGCTATATCCAATTCATCATAGGTGGATTGCTCATTTTGGTCGGAGGAGTTCACAGAGTTAGGTACCATATTACCATAATAGTTGGTTATCATCAGGTTATACAGCTAATATTATATACAATTTACAATTGTATTATAAATATGCACTATTGTTATAAACTTATATATATAGGTATTATATACATTAATGAAACTAGAATATTGTATTACAAGCCAAATGATGAATATGAAAAAAAATTCTACCTAATTAATAACGGAAATTATATAAAATA